TTATTATTATATATTTGCTTTATATTTTAAATAGTTGCCTCAACTTACCCCGCAACCAGTCCAGATTGTTGTTGTTGCTGCTGCTGCTGCTGTTGTCCCTGGTGAAAGGCAATGGCGGCGAAAAAGGGCAGCGCAGGCGAGAAGATGGGGCGCTGGAACATGGCCGCTTCGTAGTTGGGCGGGTAGTTCTGGCGCATGGCCTCCAGTGGATTGGTGGGCAGAGCCAGCGCCGCGTTGGAGGCGCCGATCAGGCTCAGCGGAGGACTGCGAGCGCGCCGGGTCGAGGGCTCGTCGCGACGCAGCAGCGCAGAGACGGAGAAGAGATCCGATTTCTTGGCGCTGCTGTTGCTGTTGGCCGTGATGAGCAGCTCTGAGGCGGAGATGGAGGCGGCACTGGGTGAACTGATGCTGGGACTGCCGGGCGGCGAGTCCACTTCCAGTTCGACGGACGAGCTGCTCGAGTGCGAGCGGGAGCGGGAKCGGGAACGGGAGCGCGACCGAGAGTGCAGCGAGCGACGCGAGTGCCGCGAGTACCGCTCGTGGCTGCTGTCCGCGTCGTCCATGTCGATCTGCGAGGAGCAGTGGGAGGCGCTGCGTGAACGGGATCGCGATCTGGAGCGCGACTGACGCAGCTGCTCGCTGGCTGTCAGATAAGGCAGCGGCTTGGGCCGCAGCTGCGGCTGCTGCAGCTGCTGCTGTTGTTGCTGTTGATTCTTGCTCAGCATCGAGATGGAATTGTTGTTGTCCTCCGTCAGGGCGACGCTGTGCGCCGGCAGCGGCGGCGGCTTCAGCCCGGCGGCGGCCACAATTGCCGTTAGGCGTTCAGTCTTGACCAAATTGCTTATGCTAAAGGGGTGAGCGGCATCTGAAAGAGAGAGTGAGAGAGAGAGAGGAAGAGGAAAGTGAGCTATTAGCAAAATCAGAACAAACAGCAGCGCATCATCAATCACACTCGCCCAAGGAGTGAGATCCACCTGTATAACACACACACTCACATACACACATACGCTGACAGTTGGCAGCATATCGAATTTCAAATGTAATTATTTTCGTATTCAATCGCCTAATCCACCTTACATGACCATTAATTCACCCTAATCAAGCGCATAGCAGCAGCAGCAGGAGAAGCAGGAKAGGAGAGAAGGAGGCGAGGGCATGCGAGGATATTACCGTTTTGCTCGCCCGTTCCGCATTTGACATCAACGCSTCGTCGTCATCATCATCAACAGGATGAACGACTGTGTCACCCAATACAACGCCCAGGGTGCAAATAGCCACCCGACAAAATAAAAGTGAACATATAAGGTCGACTCGAATGAACGTAGCATAGATAATAATGTGAAAATAATAGTATTATTAAAAGAAATGGAAAATAAACAAAAAATTAAAAAAATATTT